GGCAGCAGTAAAAAAAAAATAATAATAAATAAATATGTGCTGTAATGAAAAAAAAAGAAACTAATAAATACTATAAATATTATTTAAATAAAACAATTGAATATTATTTGATAAAAAGTTGTTGAGAAATACAAAAATGTAAAATGATTTTTAAAACATTTGATAACTCAGTTAATATAATAATAGAATATTTTTTGAAAATTTGAAAAAAGCTTGTAAGATAATAAAAGCTGGTACATACTTAAATAGATTTCATTGTGATATGTCTTGGAAGATATCCTAACTAATAACCTTGTTGCTGAATTTCATTTTTTTTCAAATTTTAAAAATTATAATTTTTTTCCTGTTTTTTTTTCCAATTTCTGGCCAATCAGGGAAATCAATAGAGTTTGAGTTATGCAATCCGACAGGCTCACCTTCTCGGTCACCGTGTCGTGAAAGTAGGTGGCACTGTGATCCACAAACACCTCGTCCGCCGAGGGCAGCACCATGGTAACCTTGCCCTTGTCCGATATAATGCGCAATATCTCAAGTAGAGCATTGAAGAGAGCATCTCGCTGCATCTCAGCGGTGGCCATCAGAGGACTGCGAGGAAATCCAAGCTAATTAGCTGAGCGGAAGGAATTACTTAGTTAGAGAGGACGCACTTGGCCGTGGCTGCAGCTCGGCTGGGTTTGCGTGCAAACAGCAGATACTTCAATATGAACCCTTGGACCACGGACAACATGCCGCGGGTAGCATTCCTTGGGGAACGTAGCCCATAAGCCAGCTCATCCTTGCCGGCGGCACCAAAAACGAAGGACGTCTGCAGCCACTCGGCACGCATGGGTATGCCGGCGGTGCCGAAGACCAGCTTGCGCAGCTCCTATTTAACAGGGATTAGGGATTGCCATTAGAGCAGAGAGAGGACTGTCCTTTACCGTTGCCAATTCGCTGGTGATGGGCGTGCCGCCTTGCATGATAAACTCCTTGTTCATGGTGCTAATTGGTCTGGGCGCTTTTCCAGCTTTTCTTTTTTGCTTCCGTTTAGCTAATTTTGATTTCCGCTCGAAAGAGACTTTTGCTTCGTTCCACGATTTGACTGCAAATGTGCTTCAGCTGGCTCCCACAGCTCGCTTCTAGGTTGAGATTTGCTTGACTGCCTCACTGACTGACTGACTAACCGACTGGGAAACTGACTGACGGACTGACTGACTGTCGACATTTCAGGCCTTTCACACTTCAACGTTGATTTTTAATTTCATATTTAGTCGTGGGCCGAGCAACAACAACAAGAGCAACACGTCACGAACGATGGCACATTAAATTGTGGAAGTCCTTTAAGTACAATGGTAAGAAATTAGGTTTTTCTAATTTAGGTTTTATAGCGAGATAAATGAGATGAGTCCTTAGATAGTGAATGCAAGCCCTAAAACAAAAACTACATTAGCTTCAGGCATTATCTTACCTCAAGTTTGAGGTAGAGCTGAGCCTGAGCTTTCAATAATTCATATTTTTTATGGATATATGTTTACTATTATATATTTTATTAATTTTCATTCCATAAAATACTATATTCGAATATAAATATTATCATATACAATTTTAATAAATATTCCCTAACATATATATATTATTTTTGGCCCACTGTGCGGGTAAATTTCAGAGGACTTGGCTCACTCGTCTGTCAGTCAACGAAAGTAACTTTAAATGAAATTGAATTGAATTTTGTTCTGTGTGCTCCACGCGATATCCGATATGCTGCATATATACATATACATATGACTGGAGAAGTGAAAGTAATATAGAGAAAGAGACAAGAGACAGAGAGAGAGAGAGAAAGAGAAGAAGAAGAGAAGGGCGCCAAGATTTTTTGGCATGTTTGAAGCCTGCCATGGCGGCCCGCACAACCGGAAATATGTAGTTGTTGGCGCCCATTTGTGCCTATTTCGTGGTGGGGTTGGCGGGGGCCAGAAGAACATATGTGTGCAGCTTAATGGTCGACATTACGAGTTATTTGAATGATGTACACATGTCGCTGCAGCCATTGTCTAGTTTTTTGGCTGCTTAACAAGCAGATACTCTCCATTATATGAAAAGCATATACACGCCTAGTAGCTCAGTTTAGCTGGATTTTACAGAGTACACAAATTCGGCTATTCATCATTTCATATTTTTGAAATGTATAATCGATTAGCTGGTTAACAAGTTGTGTTTCAAATCAACCTTGGAACATGTGTGATGCAATTTAATTAAAATACTTGTCCGTTACATTGATAGCTTCAAATGGCTTTTATTATGTTACAATTTGGTATTATTACACGATTATTATACATGATTTTGTTATTTTAAAAAAAGAAATATTTTCATATCCGAATGTCGTTAAAAAGCAAATGGCAAAAAATTGATACCCGAACCAAAATGCTTATCTAATAATAATATGAAGTCGGTCACTGTCTACCTCAGTACTTGCTTTTCCTGATCCATAGCATCCTTCATTAAAGACCTAGCGCCCTCTGGTGCTCTCCCCACCAGATATAAGAAATTCAAATACCAATCAATCAAGCGAATTTTAAATGCAGATATCCACAAGCAATATTCAAAGTAGACGCGGCGGGTCAGCCAATTGAAGTACTCCAGAGGCGATCGGCTACTGTGATCATAGATGGAGCGCTGTGCACAGCGTGCCATGAGGCAGGGTCTATCCACCACGTCGCCGTGCATATTACTAATGGCGCGAACAGTATTCAAATTTCGGCTAGAATAACAGAATCATACGTTATTATAAATAGATTAGTTCGGTAGGAGCAATGCACTCACGTCACAAAGAGCAAACACCGCGGCATCTCCCTCAGTGTACTCATAATTATTTCAAACTGTTCCTTGGCCACCTTCTGTATATGATCGACGTCCTCCTGCGTGAGTTTGCTGCGTATTCTCGGCCCCTCAATTGTCACAGGCTGCTGGAAAAGCACTGAGGCAAACTTCATATAATCGACAACATTCATCCTACGAGCGGCGGCCTTCATGCCCATCTCATCTCGCTGCACAGAGGCCACCCAGAATTGAGACAGAGCGACGCGCACGCTACGTGGCATCTCTTCATAGAGTCCGTGATCGAGTATTACAATGTCCGCTTTGCCGTTTCGCTTGTTTTTACGCACAAATACTAAATGGAGAGAGATTTATGTTTATGTCTGTGATAGTTGGAAGCGTTTCTTTGGTTACCCACTGTTGCCGGGATGGGGATCCGCATGGACAAACCCCGATTTAAAGATTTGTTCAGCACACATTGTGAAAAGCTTTTGATCAACGTCTTTTAGACTAAGGCCCAGCTTCTTAATGCTCGCCAAATCGCTAACTTTAACGCCATCAATCCATTCCAAGGTAAGCACGCGCTTAAATATTAAATTAAATTATTAAAAATTCCAAATATTTTGAAGAAATAAATCTTACTTTCTTGGTGAATCCCCAATACACTTTGGGCACATGTACGTAGCTCAGATTACGAAGATCCCTGGCGCAGCGTTCTGCGTTCTTACCCTCTTGCTCAAAGTTCAGCTCTTGAACAAGATTCTTGCGCAGATCGTTCAATATCCAACCAAAATTGTAGTCTTTGAAAATTAACTCAATTAAGTCCTGCAGAAAGATAATCGTAGCCAAGTCGCTGATGAACCGCTTCTGTAAATCGCTATACTGGACTTTCACAGCCACCTGCTGTCCGTTATGCAATCTCGCCTTGAAGACCTGCGCCAAGCTGGCCGCTGCAACAGGTGTGTAGTCGAACTCCTTGTAAATCTTTTCGGGCAGTTTGCCAAAATCCTTCCGAAACACTTTCTGTATATCCTCCTTTGATGTTGGCAGGCATTTATCCTGAAGCTTTGCCAATGTTTCCGTGTATTCAATGGGCAATATATGATTGATGGCTGCAAATCCCTGGCCCACTTTTATATAGAGACCACCATTAAGCAGACATGTTTCCAATAAACGGTTGGCACTGGTTTGATGCACCACTTTTCGCTTCTGCTCATAATCTGGATCAATCTCGTTCAGCCCCAAATAATCTACGGCTATCAGTGTGGCGGTCTTCAGAGACCTCCCGAAGCGCACAAATGATCCACAGTATGTGAAGTCGTTGACAACCCCATCATAACCAATAGCGCAGGCACAAGCGAGCAGACTTCCCAATCTTACGTAGGACACATTACGCCATTTGAAATGGGATCTAACTTGGCTTTGGGCTGTGGAACGCTTGCTATGGAATTGTCTCGGCACCCACAGTTTCTTGCTAACATATCGTAAATTCTGAAATCAATATTTTCAAACAATACATCAATGTTTTTATAAATATGACGCTTATGCACTTACAGGTGTTTGTAGCATTTCCAACAGAATTCTTTTATTTTAAACATTGCCAAACAGCTGTTCACCGCATATCTGCAGTTGTTGCATACCCGCACAATGTTAATGACAGTAACTATCAATTTTAGCAAAATTAATTTACATAAAATATAAATTTGACAATTTTAAAATAAAATATATGTGTTTGATGTACCGAAATTAGAGCATGATTTTAAACATTCTATTTAGTTTCACATTTTGAACAATATAAATGTATATCTGTTTATTTGACGTAGTCTGATAGCTATCGATTATCTTCGGCTTTAAGGATTCATTGCACAACTATCGATTACACGTTCAAATTCCAAATTTAAATTCCAGCCCAACAAGTATTGAGTGCTACTAGAATTTGGAATCAGATGCTACAGTAGCACCAAATTAGTGTATTATACCTTATCGCCGATGTTTTTATTAAATGCAATATATATTTTTTATTTAAAGCAATATCAATATTATAAAATTTGTGTGCAAGCCCTATTTTCTTGTATATTGGTGTATTGCTATCGGTATTTAGCGACTATCGAGCGTGATGATGATTCAGAGATGTCAGCTCTTTTAATGTAAACAAATTCTTTTCAAAAGTATCTGTATAGCATTGCACAAAATGATGAACAGCGTTATATTTAAGTAAGATAAAAATATTAAATTATTTGGATTCACTTAAATGTGCTTTTGTGACCACCAGCTGCTTGCATACTTAACTACGCATGAGGTGACATCTCTGCTATTTGTGTATACGAACGCCGCTTTGTTTGTTTCGCCGACATCTGACAGAGTCAGTTCTTTTTATAGCGTGGTATCTAAAACATAAACCATTTGTTTACCTTAGCAAAGCAGCAGCAGAAAAAGAGCCAGTCCTAGATATTCACAGTGAGTGGTACACACTAAAAGCCATGTCAAACACCATACTTGAAAATTTAAGCGGACGCAAGCTGTCCATATTGGTTAGCAGCCTGCTGCTCTGTCAAGTGGCTTGCTTCCTGATTGGTGGCTTGTATGCACCTGTACCTGCTGGCCATCAGATCGTGATGGGCATCAAATGCCGGGATGTTGCTGGCCGTCAGAATGACACCAGCTTTTTTCTGTACTCACGAGGTAACGGCGCTTGTGATTCCGTTCAGGATATAGACATCGAGCAGGATCCACTGAAGATGGCCAATCAATTGGTTTATGTGTTTCAAATGCCGCTGCCACGAGACAATCGAACGCTCGACTACTCCCGTTGGCAGCAAAATCTCATCGGAGTGCTTCAAATGGACATTGCATACGACTCATCGTCGGAGTTGCGAGAGCCCCCCAAAGAGCTTCAACTGACAATTGACACACGGCTTGCATATCGCAACAAAAACGACGGAGACGCAGATTGGAAGCCCTATGCGCACAGCATTGAGAAGCGCTTCTTGGATTGCCGCGCGGCACACGTCGGCCTTCAGGAAATACTTTACACTTGCGACATAATCCCTCTGTTCGAACTGGGTGCACTACATCATAGTTTCTATCTGCTCAATTTGCGATTTCCCATGGACACACCAAAGCGATTAAATCTCCAGTTCGGACACATGCACGATATCATATTGACAGCCATACATCAGAATGGAGGCTTCACACAGGTCTGGCTGTTGCTTAAGAGCGTGCTCTTTCCCTTCATCATCGGTATAATGGTCTGGTTTTGGAGACGTGTCCACATACTCCAGCGTTCTCCTGCACTGCTGGAGTACATGCTGCTGTATCTAGGCGGCGCTCTTAGCTTCTTGAATCTGCCATTGGAATACCTTACGTTG